TAAGAAAACAAACAGATTCATCCTGGAGAGGGTTAAACTAGACTGTTCCTTGGAGGCAAGTATTCTGGGGCTTCGTCTAACATACTTTTGACATATTGTAAGGAGGGGCAGGTCCTTGGAGAGGAACATCATGCTTGAGAGGGTAGAAACATGGTGCAAGAGGGGAAGACCCTCTATGAGATGGACTGATTCAGTGACTGGGGTAATCGGGATGGGTGTGTCAGAGGCAGTGCGATTAACACAGGATAGAGCAGGGTTTAGGGCTGTTGTACATAGGGTCACTAGGAGTTGCAAAGACTCGATGGCACATAACAACAATATCCCTGTAGTCTTTTAGAACGGTTGTTGTTATGTGCCATCGAGTCGCTTGCGACTCCTAGCAGCAACCCTATGTACAAGAGCTCTAAACTCCGTTCTATTCTGTGTCAAACTAGTCATCTCAAACACACTCATTCCCACCACTCCAGTCACAGAATCGATCCATCTCATCGAAGGTCTTCCTCTCCTGCGTTGCCCATCTACTCTGCCAAACATGATGTCTCTCTCCAAGGACCCTTGTAACATGCCCAAAGTATGTCAGACGAAGCTTCAGAATCATTGACTCCAAAGAGCATTCCGGCTTCACCTTCTCTAGGACAAACCTGTTTGTTCTCCTAGCAGTCCATGGTATATTCAACACTCTTCTCCAGCACCACAGCTCAAAGGCATCAATTCTCTTTCTATCATCCCTATTCACTGTCCAACTCTATGACACATAGCACATAATTGCAAAGACTATAGCCTGGATCAGGCGCACCTTAGTCTCCAACCTGACATCATTGCTCTTCAGGACTCTTGAGAGGTCCCTCACAGCTGACTTACTCAATGCAATTTGTCTCCTGATTTCCTGGCTGCTGTTACCAAGAGTATTGACTGTAGAGCCAAGTAAAAAACTAAAACTGTTAACTATCTCAATCTCTTCACCAACCATACTGATGCTGCCAATTGGCTCAGTGGTGAGATTCTTTGTTTTCTTGATGTTGAGCTTCAATCCATATGGGAGGCTGCAATCCTTGGCCTTCTGAAGCAAGCGCTTCAGGTCCTCCTCAGTTTCAGCAAGCAGGGTTGTGTCATCTGGATAATGCAGGTTGTTGATGATTCTTCCACCAATCCTGATGCCACATTCCTCTTTGTACAGCCCAGCTTCTCAGATGATCTGTTCTGCATACAGATTGAAAAGGTATGGAGACAGAATACATCCCTGACAGACCCCGTTCTTGATTTTGAACCATGTAATGTCTCCTTGCTCTGTTCTGACAACTGCCTGTTGGTCCAAGTATAGGTTTCACATTAGCACAATCAAATGTTCTGGGATTCCCATTCTTCTCAGAGTCAGCCACAGCTTGTTGTGATCCACACAATCAAAAGCTTTTGCATAGTCAATGAAGCACAGATAGACATTCTTCTGATATTCTTTACTTTCTGCCAAGATCTATCTAACATTAGCTATGACTTTGTTTCTTTTCTCAAACAAAACAACTGTTTAGGAAAAATACTTTTGGGGGAACAATCCCTTTAAAAACAAATAAAGATACAAAGTATAAAACTATCATAAAATATAAAACTATAAAAAGTAGAAAGCAAGTTTGTGGTATAACTTTTAATTTATTAAATGTAAAACAAAAATGTATTTAATACTTAATGTTTGTCAGGTAAAATCTATGAACATTTATTAATTTATTCTTTCAAATTAATTCTATGTGGTCTTTACTGCCATCTCTATCTGACAAATGAAAGGTAAGCAACCTAAATGGCAGAGCTATGATTTGAAACCAGGCCAAAAGAGGTCAATTTCTCTCTCCCCAGTATATGGGTAAATCTGAGGACTTTTTATTGTCTTCTTATCTGAACTATTTTGCTAAACTCTAACAGGTTTTCTCCCTTGTAGTTTTGCTCCCTTAAATTCATCTTCCACTCACTATCTAGTGAAATCAGAAAAGGTTTTTATATTACAGAACAAGGGTAAAGATACTTAAGACTCTGATTCATGATCAAACTGCCTGTCCTCTCCAATCTGCATTCTATACTTCAGTCTAATAAAAATTATATGTCTACTATACACACTGCTCAGCTCTAACCATGCACTTTCAGATCTATACGTCTGTCTTTTCATCTGTTTCCTGAAATACTCCTCTTTTATTTCCTGTGCAACTCAGGCATATTTCTAGATTCAACTTTGATATATTCTTCAGATCTATTCTGAAACCTCCTCTATTACCATCACACTTAATACCTTACTGAAATGATCTAAGAGCCAGTAAATGAAAAACATATTGCTGTGGAATTGGTTCTGACTCATAGTAATCCTCTAGCAGATTTCTGAGTCTGTAAATCGCAACCTAAAGAGACTGCCAACCACTAATTCTACAGTTTCATAGGATCATTATAAAAAAATAACAGCCACCCTGAAAGACCTCATTGCTTAGAAGTTGTAACCAACCCATAGCAGACTCTCTAGTGAGTGAGTTTCCTTTGGAGGCTCTAAATTGCTTGGAGGAGATCACCCATCTTTCTCCTTCAGAACAGCTAGCTGGTGGATTCAAACTACTGAAGAAGGCACCACCTTTAGTTTAGAAGCACAGCTATAATGACCAGGGCTCCCTAGGATCACTGTTCAGTCACTAAAAGTCAAAATAATGACATGAGGAAGGAACTGAAGAACAAATTAAAATGTCAAGTTGCAACAGTTAAGGATGATGTGGGCAGAATATTGAATTATCCAGGAAGCATTAAAAGAAGATGGAAAGAGTATACAGAATCATTATGCCAAAAGGAATTGGTGGACACAGAAGAATTTCATGAAACAACATAAGAGCAAGAGCTTGTGGTGAAGAAGGAGGACGTTCAAGCTGCTCTGAAAGAACTGGCAAAAAATAAGGCCCCAGGAATCGATGACATACCAATTGACATATTTCAACAAACAGACACTGTCTCGGATGTGCTCACCAAGTTGTGCCAAGAAATCTGGAGGACAACCACCTGGCCAACTAACTGGAAGAGATCTATATTTGTTCCCCTTCCAAAGAAGGGTGATCCATCCGAGTGCGGAAATTACTGAACAGTATCACTGATATCACATGCAAGCAAGATTCTGATGAAGACTATCCCAAAATGACTGGAACAACACATTAACAGAGAAATGCCAGAAATGAAGGCTGGGTTTAGAAGAGTTATTAGGGATAGTATAGCTAATATTACATAGATCGTGGCTGAAAGCAGAGAGTACCAGAAGAATGTCTATCTGTGTTTCATTGACTATGCAAAGGCATTTGACTGTAGATCACAATAAACTGTGGCTGACTCAGAGAAGAATGGGAATCCCAGAACACTTGATTGTGTTTATGCAAAATCTATACTTGGACCAGGAGGCAGTCATCAGAACAGAGCAAGGAAACATTGCATGGTTCAAAATTGGGAAGGGTGTGAATCAAGGATGTGTCCTATCTCCATACCTTTTCAATCTATATGCGGAACACACTATTTGGGAAGCTGGGCTTTATGAGGAGAAATGTGGCAAAAGGATTGGAGGTAGACTAATCAACGGAAGCTGGGCTCTATGAGGAGAAATGTGGCAAAAGGATTGGAGGTAGACTAATCAACAATCTGCATTATGCAGATGACACAACCCTGCTTGCAGCACTTGCTGCAGAATGTCAATGGCTATAGCCTTCAATATGGACTGAAGCTCAACATCAAGAAAACCAAGATTCTCACCACTGGGCCAATTGGCAGCATCATGATAGATGGTGAAGAGATTAAGATTATTAACAGCTTTAGTTTGCCTGGCTCCACAATCAACACTCTTCCAGCAGCCAGGAAATTAAAAGATTAATTGCATTGGGAAAGTCTGCTGTTAGAGACTTCGCCAATGTACTAAAGAGCAATGATGTCAGTCTGGAAACTAAGGTACACCTGATCAAGACCATGATCTTTGTTTGCAGTTACTTGCTATGTATCAGAAAGCTAGAAAATGACTAGGGATGAGAGAAGGACAACTGATTCCTTTGGGTACTGGTGCTGGAGAAGAGTGTTAAATATACCACGGACTGCTAGGAGAACAAACAACTTCATCCCGGACTTGGAGGCAAATTTTATGAAGCTTCGTCTGACAGACATTGGACATGCTTTAAGGAGGAATCAGTTATTAGAGAGGTACATCATGCTTGGGAGGGTGGAGGGACAGTGCAAGAAAGGAAGACCCTCCATAAGGTGGACTGATTCAGTGACTGGGTTAATGGGGATAGGCGTGTCAAGGACAATAAGATTGGCACAGGATGGAGCAGAGTTTAGGGCTGTTGTACATAAGGTCGCTATGAGTCGCAGGCGACTCGCAGGCACATAGCATCAACATAGTTAATATACAGTCCGATCTTGCTAGATTTAAAAATGATTGCTTGTAGAGGTGTGAAGAATATACTTCATTAAATACAGCAATAACACCCCTTTCAAAATACAAGTATTTCAAACTAGGATCTAGTGATAACCACATGTTTCAACACCCTTAAGGGAAAAAAAAAAACGGCTGTAAAGATCTGTAACATCGAACTAGGTGAAAGGGGTGGAGGTGATTCAAACAAGTGTCATCACTTCGTCCAATGATGAGGAAGAACGTGGATTAATCCTGTATTGTGAAGTTCCCAGTACTGGAGCCTGTACAGGCCAGAAAAAGGATGCACGTATTACGAAACAAACAGAAAAGCCACTGACAACACGAGTTCTGGCTTCTTTCCAACCAGAGGAAAGGGGAGAAAGCGGTCATGTGCAACTCCTCACCCAACCTCTCGGTCGGGGACCGAACCTCGAGAGCCTCGCCTCGCGCGCCTGCGCGGAACCGGCAGGTCCCTGGGCGGCCCTCGCCTCTCCATCACCCCCGCCGACCACAAGAAGTTTCTAAGTCGGTGAGAGGCGAAAATGCGATGCAGCTAGGCTAAAGAAAGGCGGTAACACCCTTCTGCACTTACTTGGTACTCGATCTCCAGCGAGGCCTTCAGGGGCATGGGCTGGTAGAAACACTCCTTCTGGCCGGCCGGAAGGGTAAACGTGAAGTCGCTGTCTAAGGAGGGCGTGAAGCTGGCCGCCCCCGGCAGCAGCACTGGTGGCCCAGCGACCAAGAGAAGCACCGGGAAGGACAGCCAAATCTGATCGCCCATCCCTGCCGGGGCGATCTCGGGTTAAAAAGGCGTGGGAGGCGTGGGTTACAGGCGCCTGGACTCCGCTTCTTCTCCTTGTGTTCCCTAGTGGTTGGTAAAGAAACCCTAGGATCCCAAGAAACTCCAGGTGGCGGAAGAGGCAGCAAAGGCACCCTCACCAAGGTAAACGCCTCAAAAGGGTAGGGAGTGAGGGCGGGACCAGAAGTTCCTTTCCGCACCCTTGTAGGTCTCTGCCCCTTCAGGCCCAGCGTGAGCGAGGCCCGCCTCACACCCGGACGGCCTGAGGTTCCCATGGCTTCTTCACACCAATCAGCGCCTTGGAGGTGCTTGTGGGACATGTAGTTCAGTGCGAGCTCAGCAAGCAGGCTCATCTGCGCTCTCGGACCACGATTCCCAGCAATCGCCGCGCCTTCGGGCCGCCCGACACACGCTGTGGAGAGGGCGGGGCTGTGGCCAGGAGAAACGCGTCCTCAACGGTTCCCGCGGCCGTTCGAACTGTGCGCACTGCAAGTTTGCAGGTTCTCCCGGTCGGCGTGCTTGGTGCTTCCACGCCCGGGACCAGGAGAGAGTCGAACTTTGCAATCGCACGCTAGAGCGGAAACTGCCCCGCCGTCGTGGTGTCTCCTAAAACTACGACTTGGGTGGTGAGCACCTGCCCTTTGGATGGTGGAAACCGGTTTACCTGGGGGAGTTTTGTTCCTCTTCTTCCTGGCAACTTTTGGCAGGGTTTTGTGCTTTGTTTGGTTTCAACCTGGAAACTCCCTATTCATAGTTGTATTTTAGTTGAGAAAAAAAAAAGAAGAGAGGAGGCGATTTTCCCCCCTTTGACGTTGCTTCTGTCTTTATTGCTCCTTCCATGAGTATCTGTCAAATTGAACGTTCTTAAGACAGAACAATATCCTATAAAGTCTTATAAAAGTAGATTTTTGACGTCTTATAAAATACTGTAACTCATCCTTTATAAGACAAGTGTGAAGAGTAGGGAGGTAACACTTCGATATGATGGTATGTTTGTGTGTGTGTGTGTGTGCGCGCGCGCGCGCGCGCTCACCTACGAGCACGTTGTTCTTAAGTCTAAGAAATGACAATACCAGGGTCTACATAGAATATTGTGTGCTTTTCTACATGGACTTCTAGAATTAGTCTAAATAGAATGGAAGCGCTTAAGCATTCCACTAGGGAAAGGAAAATGTTTAAATGGCAAGAGTATTAATTTCTTCTGGAGAATTAGAGAAAATGCAAGGAAAACATTCAAAAGGTTATAAATAAAATTTGGATTTAGAAAAAAATAGTACCAAGTTGCATATTAGATTTTGCTTACATTTTCTTTACCCTTTTTTTCGTACACTCTCCTTCAGGGAGCTAGCGATTTTAAAAACATAAAACAGGATGGGGACCTGATAAACTGACTTTTGTCTGGAAGAGTCTTCGTAAAAAATAAGTAAATTTGTGGAAGGAAAGAGGATAGAACCAGTTTGCCTGGTTAAGACTAATATAGCATCACTTTTAAATCACCTGCCACGGTTTCCTTAAAGAAGGTGGGCATTTTCTTTCTTTCCTTATCCATCTGAGAAATTCTGAGTAAAAAATGTATTTATCAAGAAGGGCAGTTTTATAAGCATGAATTCATTCAGCAATTACTGGAGCTACTTCTGAGTGCCTTAAATTTCGGGACTTCTATCCTTTTTTGAGCTTAAAATTAAGCAGAATTCTAAGAAGGGCAATGAAAGTCCTACAAAAAGACTAAGGCAAATGAAATATGAAGAGTACAGTTTCATTTGGAAGCAGGAGTGGCATCCACTTCCTAAACAACATGCTTCTAGAAACTCTATGAACTTGGATAAATGTCAATAGTTATAGAAAGGCTTCAGGCCTTTTGTTCAGAGGGTTGCTATGAGTCGTGCTTGACTCGATGGCAATCAACAGTACAACATAATTTCAAGATTATATGGAAACATCCACAGAAGTAGCAAGCATTAGAAAGCCTTCGTTTACTTAATTAACTGCCCTAATATGACTTTGTTCTTTAATTTTGGATATCCAAAGTAGTGTTTACTGGTGTTTCACAACTCGAAAGATACTCATCCATTGAGAAAACAAGCTTTTCTTGAGCTGTGAATTGACTTGCCAAATGTCATTTTGATCTGTCTTTGGAACTTTGCATTATGGCTTTGGGCTGCAAAGAAAGTTACTGTTACTGATTTTGTTTTAAAAATATTGAAAATTTAACAACACTTGAAATACAAAAACTGAATTAAATTCTGTTACTGGGAAGGTGTTTTGAATGATGCGTAGCAATTTTCAGGTAAAATCCAAGATTATTTTTTTTTTCTTCAAGAAATGGAATCAAATTTATCAGACTTCTGTTATAAAGACAATGAAGAAGAAAGTTTGCTTGCAAATGTTGCTTCCTTAAGACATGAACTGAAGATAACAGAATGGAGTTTGCAGAACTTAGGGGAAGAACTGTCCAGGTAAATAATACTATCATATTATTTTAAAAACTTTAACAATATAAATGTATAAATTTCATTTTCCTAGTTTGTATTTCTAATATGCTTTGAAAATAATAATTTTTAATAGCATTAAATATTTAAAGAAAAAAATGAAGTTACTTAGGAAAAAATTAGGAATATTGGAAAATAAATTATATAGTAAATAAACACCTTTAACAGACTAGGTCTCAATTTAAAATCAATATTTAAACATTCTTGATCTTCATGACTTAAAAAAATTGTAAGTTATAATAGTATAGTGGTTCCAGAAATACATAGATTGTGAGATTAAAATTTACTCTGCAAAACAACTATGAGATATCATCTCCTCCCAGTAAGAATAGCAAATTTTAACAGAACAGCAAACAACAAATGCTGGCGAGTTTGCAGAGAAACTGCAAACTTACTCACTGTTGGTAGGAGTGTAAAATGGTACAAGCACTATGGAAGGCAGTATGGCGATTTCTCAAAAAGTTGCAAATAGAAATACCATTTGAGCCAGCAATTCCACTGTTGGTAATATACCCTAAAGAAACCATAACCGCCACCTAGGCAGATATATGCAAACCCATGTTTATTGCTGCTTTGTTCACAATAGCAAAGAGTTGGAAACAATCTGAGTGCCCATCAACAAACGAATGGATAGAGAAGTGGTATATTCACACAATGGAATACTGTGCTGCATTGAAAAACAAGGAACCCATGGATTATTATACAAAATGAGTGACCCTGGAGGACATTATTCTGAGTGATATCTCTCAGTCACAGAGGGACAAATGCTGCATAATGCCACTGTTGTAAAGTGGGACTGATATCTGGGTTCGGGGGAGACTGAGAAAAGAGGGGATAATTAATGTATACTGCATTGAAACAGATGAGGGAGAGACGGTTTAAAAGGAATATATGATTAGGTATTATTGACATGACAGGAGTCTAGAGTGAAGGCTGCATAGTGGAGTAGACTTGAGGGGAGGAATTGTATAACAATGAAAGAATTTTACTTTTTAAAGGGAAGAGCGAATTGTAGGGGAGGATGGGCAGGGAGAAAAGTACAACAATGGTTAAATGGAAATCCAAAGTCTCTGTAAACTTTCATTAAGATTAGTAATTAATGAGAAAAGAAAAAAATTTACTCTGATTTATTTAGAAAGCTGTGGTGGCTTCATGTTAAGGAGCTGTGCTTCCAAGGAGAAGGAGGGCACATAGTTCAAATCCATCAGTTGCACTGTGGGAGAGAGAGGCAATCTCCCATGTGATTTACTGCCTCTGAAAACTCACTGGAGGGCCTGCTGTTGGTTGGTTCTAACTTGGTGGTACTTAACAACAACGTGGTTTATTTAGGGACCTCTGGTGGCTTAGTGGTAAGCAATTAAACTGCCAATCTAAAGATGGGCAGTTGAATGCACTAGCTGCTCCACAAGAGAAAGACAGTTTCCTTTTGGGCATTTTGCTGCCTCTGGAAGCTCACTGGTAGATAAGCTATGAGTGGGTTCCAATTTACTGGACGTAACAAGAACAACAATATTGTTTATTTTATGTTTATTGTTTATTTAACTTAGTGGAAATACAAAGTTGTGAATCTAATTGGCTCCAGCATCATGATTTTCTTATATAATAAATAGTTAAACTAGCTAGAACTAATTTCTTGTTCTTTTTCCTGTTAGTACAAGTGAAAATTCTGAATATGCCTCTAATCCCTCAAGATTTGAAAGGCTCATTTTGGATGATTTTGTTCAGCCTAGACACCCTGGACTTTTGAATTACTCACCTTATAAAAAAAATTGTAAGATGTCAAGTGGCAATGTCGATTCTCAAAGAAAACCAAGAGATAAGGTTATTGTTTTTAGATCTGTATACTTAAAATGGCATATCATATACTTAAAATGGTTTTTTTCCTTGGGTTTTTATTGCTTAAATGTCTTATTTGGGTTTTTTTTTTTCATATTTAGAGTAAAATTAAAGCCTTATTGAATTTAAAGACATTAAGCCCCTGGGTTATTCATAGGGTTTTCAAGGACCTGCTTTTCAGAAATAGGTGGTCAGTTGTGCTTCCTAGTCTCCTTCAGTCTGGAAATTGCCCTGAAACTTGTCCACCTTGCTGGTATTTGAAATATTGGTGGCATAACTTCCAGCATCATAGTGACACACAAGCCATCACAGTACAGCACTCTTAACAGTTGAGTACAGTCATAGTGTTCCTTAAAGACAAAGGTGGAAAGGTGGTAGAACTTAAATACTTGGGGCATATTGTCTGGATGCGCCAATTCTTGGAAAAAGACATCCTGGTGGGAAAAGTCAGTGAAAAAGAGGAAGACTCTTAATGTGGTAGATTGGCAGTGACAGCAACAGTAGACTTGAGGATGGCGCAGGTTAGGGCAAGATTTAGATCTATTATTCATAGGGTGTCTATGAGTCTAAGTCAACTCAGTTTCACCTAACAAGGAATCCTTGGGTTACAGGCGACATCTAGTGGCATAGCCTGCAATGGAATAGTACTGCTGACCCAAAGACAGCCTTTCTGGCAGTTTGAATCCATCAGGTGCTCCTCGGGAGAAAGACTGGATATCTCCTCCTGTAGGATTTACAGCTTCAGCAGCCCAGTGGAGTCACCTATGAGTTGGTCCAATTACTGTGAATGATGAATGAGGACTTGCTTTTCAAAAACGTTGTGTAAA